TTTAAATTATGTTGCAGGTGATCATTATCATGAGGATGTTGGTGATGAGGCTTAAGGCTTCAGTTAGGCATGCTCTGATAGGATGTGACATTGGGCATAGTTAGGCTTATTTTGGGATATTATTGTTTTAAAAGCCTTTTCTTTTCTTTTGAAATTTTGAACGTTCTTGATAAAAGATCAAAATGTACATCTTTGTCATATTATTTTTATTACATGATTTTGAAAGTTATAAATTAATTCCTAACTAGGAGGCACTGCCACCTTTGCTAGAATTAATCTATATTTTCCTTTATATGGTTTCTTGAGTTTTAACACTTACATGTCGACTTGTTATGATTTATGAGTTACGAATGTGAATCTTCTACTTTATGATAATTGAGACAATTATTTTATCCATGAAAAATGTTGTTAAGAAAAAAAATTTGTTTACATTTATTGTGTATTAATGTTGGGGTAGAGGGTGTCATAAGAGAACATAAAATACATTTCCCTTGAAATAAGCATTAAGGAAATTCCAAAATCCAATTGGAATGATGAAAAATGGAAAAGATATTTTCTTAACTCAAAGGCTTGCAACTCAATCATGAATATACAAAAGTACATAGCTTCAAGAGTGCCAAGTAGATGTAGGACACTCTGGAACATATGACCAATCCATAGAGCTAAAATGAAACAAGCTTAGCTTACTTGCATCTAAGTGTGAGTATTTCACTATGGAAGATAATGAAAATATTCAAACCATGTTTGGAAACATTCAAACTATTTCCAATGAACTATCCTTCTTAAGTTGAACTTATGATAACTTTTTATTACATTGACAAGCTCTTACATAGTTTACCCAGATAGTGGAAACCTCAAGTTACAACCCTTCAAACCAAAGACCTAAATAAACTATCACTTGAAGAGTTGATAGGATTGTTAAAGGTACACAGTTGGAACTTCAATAAGAGGAGGTTGGCAAGAAGAGAAAGTCTCTTACACTTAGCACCTAGAAGCCAAGAAAAGGGTTTTTGTCCAAAGTCATGAAGGTTGAAGAGTCTTTCAAAGAACAAAGTGAAGAGGAGGAAGTTGACTTTGAGGATGATATATTTTTATATCTCTAGAAAGATCCATTCCATGCTCAAGGAGAAATACGGACAACGTTGGAGGATTTTAAGAGACATGCTATGAATGCTAAAGTTAGGCCACTTCAAGTCTGAATGTCTTGATTATATGGGGAAAAAATAGTAAGAAAAAACCTACTTTTTTTTCGAGAAAAAGTAAAAAATAAAGGGTTGATGGCTACATGGGAAGATCTTTATCTCTTGTGGTTTGAAGAGAAAACAAACAAAGAAGTCAACCTATGCCTCATGGTTGATGTAAACGATCCTATTTGTTTCGGAGAAGAGTCAAAATAAGATCAAGAGGTAAACATGTATGAATTTTTAGCTTTGCAAGAAGCTTTCATGAATTGCCTGTGTTGAGAAAGAATGAGTAAAACAAATGACAAAAAATCAAAGAAGAATTAAAAAGGTGACAAAAATGAATGGTATATTGATTTTGGATTATGTGAGAATTATAATAGATGATCACCAAACACAATCACAACAATTGTGGCTGCAAGTCTAGCTTTCAAGTTCTTGTTCTAGCTTTCTTTGTTAGTTACAAAGAATCACACACACACACATATATATATAGGGACCTAACAAACTAATAGAAATAGAAACTAGCTGAATGATGAGAACCACGTGTCATAGTCAATAGCTTGTTGATTCCTTTAAGATTTCAAGTGCTTATAAAGATCGTAAGAAACATTTTATACCTTTATCAAGAGAGTGTGAACTAATAAAAAGGAGATGAAAAGCTTTTATGAAAATGTAAATATTTTGAAATATCTCTTAAAAAATCAACTCTAGACAAAATTGATAAACTTAAGAAGAAATGGATTCCCTTAAGATCAATTTATCCTAGTTTGTCCAAAGTATTGAAAATATGGATAAAATCTTTAGACACAACAGGAGTATGAATAATAAGTCTAGTCACAGATACAAAGTCAAGAAATTTGTTCACGATGAGTTTGTATTTTTTTACTACTTTAGTGGAAAACGAGAGAAAGGTGTATTTTCCAAAGTCATAAACCCAATGGTGATGGTCAAGTCACTTTCAAAAGGAATCACAAAGGTAAGATCATAAGATAGGTATATCGTCTTCCCTTTCTATTGATAACATGCTTTATCTTGGTAAATTCAAAAGCAACCTACATAGCATAAGTCAATTGCATGCATGATAGTGGATTTGGTGTGTCCTTTAATAAAGATAAATGTATAATCAATAACAATTTAGGACTCAATTTTTATACTAGAAATATATAGAATAATCTTTACAAAATTAAGCTAGACGAACTAATAAGTCAAAATGTTTGGTGACTTGTTTCAATCGAAAATCTTTATTGGACATGGGACAAAAGGCTTGGACATGCTAGCTTGAGATTAATCTCAAAGATTATGAAGCATAACTTCGTAAGAGGACTTCTAAATCTTACAACTCTAGTGAGCTTTGTGAGTCTTACTATAAAGGGAATCAATTTAGATCATCCTTTGATTCAAAGAATGTTATTTTTACTTCTAGGCTTTTAGAACTTCTACATATTGACTTTTTTTGTCCAACCAGAATTGCATCCCTTAGTGGTAAAGACTATTGGTTGTCGACGACTATACTAGATAGAAATGAGTTCTATTCCTCACCCACAAGGTTGAGTCCTTTAAATTCTTCTATATACTCTGCAAAAGGGATCAAAATAAAAAGTTGTATGCGTTCTTCCTATCTAAAATGGTCATAGGGGTGAATTTGAAAATGAAAGTTTTCAAAGATTTTGTGATGAGAACAAAATTCTCCATAAATTTTTAAGAAATAAGATAACACAACTCTAATCTTTATGATATAACCAATAACTATAGACGAATCACTCTAAGGTGAAGGATGGATCAAAGCCATACAAAAAGAGATAGATTAGTTCTAGAGAAATATGTTTGGAAACTTGTTCCTCTTAAACAAGACAAGTCAATAATAGAAACTAAATGGGTCTTCAAGAACAAGTTGAATGAAGCAAGTTGTGAGAAATGAGGTTAGACTTGTAGTCAAAGGGTACTCACAACAATAAGGTATATACTTTACTAAAACCTCTACTTCTATTGCTCGTCTAAGAGCCATTTGAATCTTATTGTCATTTGCTACCTTTAGTAAAATGAAGTTGAATCAAATAGATGTTAAGAGTGTGTTTCTTAATGGCATAATTAGCGATGAAGTTTATGTGTGGAACAACCTCCTAATTTTGAAAATGAAAAAATTTCCTCTCATGATTCTACATTAAACAAGGCTACTTATGAACTCAAACAAACACTTTATGCTTGGTATGAGAATTTAAGTTCATTTCTTTTAGAAAATTGGTTTTCAAGAGAAAAGGCAAATACTATGTTGTTTTGCTAAAGCATGAAGTCACACTTTATCGTTATTCAAATCTATGTGAATGACATAATATTCAATGCTATTAATAAGATGCTCTACAAGGAGTTTTCTAAGTTAATGTAGGATGAGTTTAAGTTAAGATGAATATGATGGGAGAACTCAAGTTCTTCCTTGGATTGTCAATAAAACAAGACAAAAAAGGAATTTACATACAGTATATGAAGTACACCAAAAAAGAACATTTGAAAAAGTTCAAGATGGATGATGCCAAACCCATGAGCACACCCTTGCCTCCAACATCAGTGTTAGGCATGGAGGAAGCATAAAAAAAAGTGAATCATACAACCTATAGAGGAATGATAGTATCACTCTTATATCTCACACCATCTAGACCATATATCATGTATAATGTCAGCTTGGGCATTAGATTTCAATTTGACTCAAGGGAAGTACTCAACTTCAATTTCACGCATAATCATATATTTAAAAGGTATTACTAATCATGGTTTTTTCTTTGAAAAAAAGGAGATTAGCATTTAGTAGGATATTGTGATGTCGATTATGCCAGAGACCAGATTGAATGAAAAAAACACTAGTGGAGGTTGTTACATCATTGATGGTAACCTAGTCTCCTAGACGAGCAAAAGACAAAGGACAATAGTTATCGCAACATGCGAAGCAGAATACAACACAGTTGCATCTTGTTAGCCTAAAACATTGTTTTATACGTCAAATCCTATATCCATGTCAACAAATTCAAACACTTAAATGCATAACCTCTCAAAACTTCTCTTTCACAAAATCTGCCTTCCTACTCTCCTCGTCCTTAACCTCTCAAATCCCTCATTTTTCTCTAAAGTTTGAACCCTAAACCCATCCTTGACAATATCATCACATGTGGGATTTTATATTACTTCACCCTTAACGAGGTCATCTACATAGAAACCATCAGGAAGTTCTACAGGAAAGTAGTTTCTCACAAAACATGCATAACTGGAAAGGTTCTTGACGTTGAAGTGAGAGTGGATGTTGCGGCTACAGCCATTGGCCATGAATGTGTTCGAGCATGACTGGTACACCAAGTATGATGTTAGACGGCAATTATAAAAGTGCAAGATGTTGAGGAGAAAGATTTATCCTATTCCTACTCTAGCCATCAAGAGCAAGTATAGAACTCGCATCATTTGTTACCAAAAGCGTTTCTGAAGACGGTGTTGAAAGAAACAAGGACAAGGCAAAATTGGACTATGTTGAATATCTTCATTCTTGCCCAAATAAAGATATATATTCTCATGTTTTGTCATCATGTATTAATTTGAATAAAAATATCTTTTAAATTATTTGTGTCAATTATAAAAGTACAAGCTTCGAAATACTATGCAAAAATGAGTTGCATTAGCTCAATTATCTAAGTTTGAACTAATTTAAATATAAAAGTTATAGCAAATTTAATTTCCAAAACTTAAATTTGGTTGAATTAACCCAAAAGTTCAAAAAGATAAAAATAGCCACGTATTACGTGACATAATATTCATTTTCGTTAAGAAGTTTCGTACCTTATCTATTTCAAAGTCGGCTAAACTATTCACGCTTACATTGTATATCTGCATGGGCAAGAAAACTGCTATAGCCTGACATAGAATGACTCACAGGTGTTAATGAAGTTAAGTAAATGAGGCAAATAGCCTCCATTGGGCATTCTTAAACCACCAACAAATTTGAGACTCCACCTTCAACAAGCCGATAAAAAATGTGGGAGAAATATCAGATAAATTCTCCACTGCAAGGAGAGACGCAGAAATTATGTTTATTGTCTGCACAAATACAAACAATTTAAGTAAATATTTTTAAAAGATTCAAAATATTACATATTTTATTTTACTAAAATCAGAGACAGAGGTTCATACAAAATATATCGATTAATACTATTTTGAAAATTGATGCTAGAAAACAAAAAAGGCTTGACTTAACTATACCAATCGTTGGCATTGGCCTTATAAACCTGATAAAAGTATATAAGGAATCTTTTGTAGAGGCCAAAAGGCTTTTTGGACTAGGATCTTGATGTTCATATTCAAATGATTCTCCAGAGCCTGCATTCATAGAATAACATCTACCACGTTCTTTACTTGTGGATGCTACCTCAATGTATCTATAATCATGCTTCAGGTTATGTTGTTGCTGATGCCTTACGATGAGATATTCATTCTGAATTTTTTGAGTTTTATACCATGAAGCTTTTGTTACGAAAGAACCTAAAATATCAAATGTGGAATGTTAGTGGCTATGAGGACATTTTTCTTTCGTTTTCCATTCTCGCATTACTTTTACTTAAAAATTTTAATTGTTTCCTCCACATGGACAGTAGTTCATCACAGATTTTACGTATAAAATAACTAATAAAATTGAAATAAAAAGTTAATAAAATTAAGAAAAATTATATTATGTAATTATAATTCTAAGAAAAAAATAGATAAAAAAAACCAGTTCAGCTAAATCTTAAAAAAAATAAGCATATTTAGTTACTTTAAAATATGGAATTAAAGATTTTCTATATATATATATATATATATAAAAGAACAACTACAAATTTTTAATATCATATATATATATATATATATATATATTATATAATAATTTTGTAATACAAGTTATTTTTGGCTAAGAAGTTGTTTTCTTTCTCCCTTGGAGTTGATCGAGGCTACTGATTAGAAGATTCAGAGCTAGTGAAATTGTGATTCAATTTTGGGGACGTACAGAGTTGCACTTCTCTTCTCTTACGAATCGGGTTTTACAAGAGGTAAGGGAAACTTGTGCTGTCTAAATCTTAAGTAGATTATCTTGGATGATTCATCTTGTTGTTTTTGAGGAAGATTAAATGATGGTTTTCATTATAGTGGCTGGTTTTGAATTTGTTGCATGTTGAAGTTAGGTTTTGGGTTTAAATGCAAAAGGCATTAACTTGTTTGTGTAAATTTGGGTGCATGTCATTTTGGTGAAGATAAATCAGTGAAAATGATATTGTATGTGATGTTTAGGAAGAAAAATTGTGAAGTGCAGGTGAGAAATAAAGGGAAAACTATGAATATGTAGAAAAACTCTACACTCAACATTGTAGCCATAGATGAGCGTTGCAATAATGGGAAAATTTGGGATGGCTAAGATCCAGCGCTACAGTCGTAGAGCGTTGTAGCCATTGGAAAAAATTGGGATGGTAGAGATCCAACGCTATAACCACGGTTGAGTGGTACAACCATAAGAAAAAAACTGAGCTGGCAAAAATCCAATGTTGAAGCATTAGATTGAGTGCTGCAGTGGCAAGGTAAATGACCGAATTTGGTCTTGAGGTACACATGAAAGTTGTAGCCTTAGATGTTAGCTTTACAATAACTTTAGAATCACCTAAAAAGGAGGTTTAGAACTCCAATTGTGACCTTTATAGTGAGTAAAGGTCAAGTTGTTAGCATTTAGGAAAATTGTTACGATTTTTGTGATTTTCAACATGGTAGATGATAGAATTAGAACCTGAGGTCTTTAAGAGAGTTGTAGATAATTTTTTATCTTTTATATGAGATAAAGATGAGTTTGATTGGGCTAGTGGGACTTCAATTGCATTGTATTATGTGAAAGTTATTGTTGTATGCTAATTGACAATTACATGTTCAAAATGGTGTGTTAATTCCCCTATAGCATATAGTAATACATGATGTCCTAATTTATTTTATGATGCATTGTAGAAATGGATGATGATGTGTGAGGATGTTTAAAGTTGTTTACGTTATGATTAATGTTGTTGTAACAACCTAAGATTTTTCTATTTTTTTAATAATTATTAATTAGGGGGAATGAGGATGATTTTATTTTATATTGTGATTAATGGTTATCATTTCATATATTTTAATAGATTTAATTATTAAGAGGAGAATCAGATATTATTAAGAGAATGGAGGGGTTTTAGAGAAATAAGGTATTATTAAATTATATATTAGAAGAGAAGGGAGAAGAACGATTATTATTATCTATGACACTCGGGTGCTCTAGAGAGGACACATCAAGAGAACAAGGAGGAGGAATCACTGAAGAGGAGCCAAAAGTGTAGATCAAATATTTTTGCATCACTCCAGATAAGGGGGAGTGAGAACACTCATTCTTGGGATTTGGGTGTATGCATGAAGGGTAGAGGGATTGGCCCCCAATCCCATAAGTTTTCTGTTTGATAAATTTTGATGTGCGTTTGATGTAGTTTGATTAGTAGAATCAGAATATGTAATTTAATTGATGATCAAATGCTTCTAGATAATGAATTAAGTGCTTTGTAGAAGGGAGTTAGAACCTTAGAGGGATTGGCCCCCAATTCCAAAATATTTCTGTTTGATGATATTTGATGTGCATTTGATGTGATTCAATAAGTATATTTGGAATATGTAATTAATTTGATGATCAGATGTTTCGGAATATATAATTGAGTGCTCTGTAGAAAAGGTTAGAAGCCTAGAGGATTCACCCCCAATCCCATAAGTTTTCTGTTGGACAAAATTTGATGTGCGTTTGATGTGATTTGGTGTGTAGATTCTAAATATGTAATTTATTTGACAATCAGGTGTTTTTAGATAATTAATTGAGTGCTCTGTATGGGGGTTAAAACCCTAAGGGGGAGGATTTGAAGAATTAGATGGAAACCATTCTTAGATGTTTGATTAAAGGATTTATGATGGATGATGAAATTAATTATTATAGAGAGAAAATGAATTTCTTGTTGATATAAGTGATTTGAATGATGGATGTGTTTTCTGCGTTTTGGGATTTTGAGTATAGAAAGCATATTTTGATATGTCAAATGATATTTTATGATGTTCATGATGTTTGTGTTTATGATTGATTTATACGATGATGAATGTGTGTGTGTATATATATATATATATATATATATATAGTGAGAGAGTGTGTGTGTTATAATAATACCGGTATAACTTTTACTAAGTATTACACCGCTCAATAACTTTATATTAATTGTGAATTTTGTAAATCCAACCGTTAGATTGAAAGTTCATATCACTTTATATGTGTATATCAAATTTTGTTAAAATTCAACAACAACTTGAATGTAATCAAAGTGTTCATCTTTTAGTATATTTTGAAATGAATATATTATATCAATTTTGCTTTATAAGAATGAAGTATCAAATCATCTGAGATTAATATAAAATTTTGTATCTATGATCTAAGAGATATAAGCTTTCAATCTAATAGTTGAATTTTCAAAATACACATTTAATATAAAGTTATTGAGCGGTATAATACTTAATAAAAGTTACACCGGTATTATTATAACCCTCCTCATATATATATATATATATAGGAGGATATATATATGTTGACGAACGATAGATGACATGATGATGAATGACGACATGCATACCTTGTGATAGGTGATTTTCATGTTGATAGATAAACTTGATGCGGATTGATATATATGTTGGTGAACGATGATTTAAACGATGAACATGATTTGATAGTATAGAATCATTTGCATGATGGTGACATGCATCATACTTGCATATTTGAGGTTCTGGTGGGAACCTGATGTTGAGATTCTGGTCGGAACTTGATGTTGGTATTCTGGTGGGAACATTAGTGTGTTGGTAGCCTAAGGTTAACTCGAGACTTAGATACCAACTGTATATTTACGATGATGATGATGATGATGATGATGATGATGATGGTCGGGTACCCCATGCATGTAGGTCTATGTGCACATTATTACATTTATATGTGTGTGTTTGTGAATGAGATGGATGTTGTTATTGAAGTTGAAGTATATGAATGATTGTTATTTAATTGAAGTATGAATTGTTGTTACTATATATATTTTGAAGTATTAATTGTTGTAATTATATTTGTTTATCTTGAAGGAATGAGATGCCAAGGGTTGTGGCCCATTCCCTATAATTTTGTTGGCGTGTTTTGGTATGTTTTGCAGACAAGGACCCTCAACCTTGGGAGGAGCAAGGGGAGGCCTAGGTGTTTGTAACTCTGACGCCAATATGACACCGAGGATGAGAGTAGTTTAGGAGTTATATTATTTCTTGTTAATTCAGTATTTTATTAAAATTACAATTTGTTTATTACTACTCCACTTATTTAATTTTCCAATGAATGGGATTGTTTATTTATGAATTCTATAAGGATGTGTTCTGAGATTTTATGAGTTATCAATGTAAAGTTACTGAGCACACAATGTTGTGTTTATTATTTTCGTTAAGTTGAGAGTTGGTATATATGTTAAAAGATGATTAAGTTGTAAAGAAGTAATTAAGTTGATATGTTGTTATGTGTTGTATTGTTAAGACGTATGATGAATGATGCTTAAATTGTAATGATGTATGATGATAAGTTGTTAAGTTGTTAGGCATGTGGTTGTGATACATGTCTATGTTCAGATATATAGAAACTACAAAAGAGTTAAAGATGTTTTCAAACTTTAATACCTCATTGTGTAGATATACATTGTGTTGAATCCTTTAATAAGTAAGTTGGCTTCTAAATGGGTACATTATTTTTTTATTTTTTTTATAGGCTTTATGTGGTATCCGTATGTGTAACACCCCATTTTTCTTATTTCGATTTTATTTTATTTACCCGACATGTACTCCTAGACTACTATTGGTGTATTGCTAGCGGCAATATGCCATGTGAAATGTTACTGGCGCCACATGCATGATAAAATGTAGTCCGTGTCCATACATGTGCATTTTAATGTTATATGAAAAATTGATATGTCTTGGATGAGTGAGATATGATGTTATTATTAATTTATCTATGTTATACCTATTTTGTTTGTGTTTGGCTATCTGGCGTATATTTCTACACTGTGAGCCAGAGTGAGATGTTTCTCACTCCCTTTTCTCTTGTGTTGTTTTCTTTGACTGTCATATAGGTGATTATCAACATGAGGCTGAGGATGTTGATGATGAAGCTTAGGCTTCTATGTTGGGATTTGCTCTGATAGGACATGTGACATCGGGGCGTACATAGGATTAAATTAGGATGTTGTTTCTGTTAAATTATTTTGAAAACCTTAACCTTATTTCTTTTGTAATTACCACTAATCATGTTATATGTTTAAGTTATGAATGTGGTGCTCTCTATCTGAACATGTTTGGTATTTTTAAAAATGAAAGACTGTGGTATTCCAAATTTTATTATGTGTTATGGTATGCG